CGTGCTGTTGTCGCCCTGCTGATGATGTCAGCGACGCGGTTTAATCGGGCGCGCTTTAGTGGAGTGCGGTTTTGTCGTGCCATGATTAAGAACTACAGTGAAATTTAAGATAGGAGATAATGAAAATAATATGTGTGGATAGATAAATGTCCACCTTTCTATGGATATTTGTTTTACTGTGAAATCACTTGATGGATTAAACTGGACAAAATTGGACAAAACTACAAAGGAGAGGGTTATCAACAATAGGGTTCTTGATGACATCATTTCACCTATTCAGTTGTAGACTATTCAATTATAACTATGTTATATATGTTAGTTATTAATTGCTACCAGGAGAGCTAGGTCTCTCTTTCGCCATGCTTATAAATTCTGAATGTGACATGCGGTGCTGGATTAGATGGGTTTTTTGGCTTCATCCAGTGAAAGTTTTCTTTCTGTTCGTGTACTACCAGCGACTAAACATGCACATCTGGAGGACGGTTCTATATGATCTCCCTGATAAATCTCATGAGGAACTGTGGTATCAAAAATTGAAGGAAAGAAATTGCATTTCTATTTTTTTCCTTTTTCCTTTTCTTTCTTTTTTGTACTTTTTCTTTTTCTTCATATCTACCTCTGTCTCTACCAAAAAATAAGGCCAAGTGCTTATTTTTTGGGGGGTGGTGTCAAAAGAAAATAAAACACTGTCTTATTTTCAGGGAAACTTCGTATGAGGCATAATATAATATATATAGTCTAAAACAATTATGGTGAAAGTTAATATCTTGCCTTCAAATATACATAAACATTTTCACGGAAATTAATGGAGATTTCAGTTGTGTTGTTTATACACTTTAGTATCTCACCAGTCAATATAATAGTTATGATATCTTGCGATTTCACAGATTATAATTATTTAATTATATATTTTAAATTTTATCCTTAGTTGTATCCAAACAGCCTGTAGTTTTAACAGTTAGTTGAAGCCTACCGTGTTTTCCTGAAAATAAGACAGGTTCTTATTTTCTTTTGACCCTCGAAATAAGTGCTTGGCCTTATTTTTGGGGAGGTCTTAGTATTTTTGAGATGCAGGAGTTGGTGAGGTGTGGTCACCTCATGTCTGCTGCTGTGTTGCAATATTTTCGGGGAGGGATTATTTTAGCGCATGAGCTCTAAAGCCCGATTGGGCTTATTATCTGGGGAGGTTTTATTTTTGGGAAAACAGGTTAAAAAAAAAAGAAACAGAGAAAATGGGTGAAGAAAAAAAACCAAAAAGTTAAAAAAATGTACTTAATGCTGAAATGCATGTCAAAGAAAGCGGTTGTACCTGAATATTCAGGCACTGTTAAGTATTTCTACATGTAATAAATGTGAACTCTATTGAACTAAAATATATTCAGAAGATAAGTAACAAAACTGAACAACAGCATATTATTGTCATGTGACTTAAAACAGCATATTACAGTATTGTAAAATGTAATAACATTTAAATATTTAAATTGCAATATATCTTTTTGTGGACACTTTAAACATTTTCCAGAGTGGGTAGAGATATCAAAAATAGCAAAGAAATTATTATTTCTCACAGAATTACAAACGTTTTTCCATTTTCTTCGTTTCATTTAGAATAATAGATCAGTCCAGCAGTACAGAAATTGCTTCTTTCCCAATCTACAAAGTGTTGTTCTGTGTCCGTGGGCAAAATGGGACTTTGGAATGTGACTGCTTTGCATTTACTGAGAGTTACTCTGGCACTGAGGAGTTTCAAATTCATGTCTTCTCTTGTGAAATTAAAGAAGCAGTAAGTAGAAAGCATAAGTGTTATTGTTTCAGAAAGCACTGTTGAAATAATAGGTTATGGATGAGAAATGTCTGATTCACTAAATTGTTGCATCTCTCTGTAGAATGTAAGCAAAGCTTTAAAAGCACACATTTATATGACCGCCCCTGTTATGGAATATAACTCTGGGCAGCTCACAACCATAATGAAAACCAAAGAAGAATAAACCAAAACTCAGCATCTCAAACAAAACTTTGCAATACACCCATCAATAAAATCCCTGAACTCCAATCTTGTCCTGTTCCAACTCTTGGGGAGGGGGGGGAGAATACTAAAAGGATGGGGGCATGCCAGAAGTCAGGCAAAGGGTGTTCTACACAACCGGCATTGCTACAGAAAAGGCACTGTCGCTGTTGCCAGGAACACTTCCTATTCTGACCCCCTCCTTCGTCCAGTAACGAATGCCGAGACAAGCTTAACTGGAAT